ACCCCCACCCTTGGTTCCTTCCTACGTAAAACTTTGTTTTAATGTTGAGTAAATGGCGATATAAGCGAGTGACACACTTGCATACGTGCAGTAGGAGACACCGGTACAACAAACAGGAGAAAGACGTTTGCATCTGTCCTAGACACTGCGAGGTAACAAAGACCGGAAAAGGGTGAGTAAGAGATATAGCACAATTGCAAGATGCCTTTTTTTTTTTTTTTATCTGATCTACACAATGGCAAAAACTACAATAGACTAAGTTTGCCATGAATCCACGCCAATGTGCACATCGCGATATTTAAGTCTATGTCTGTGTGCACTCTGCAATAGTTCAGTCTATCGTGTCAATGTGCACTTTGTGATACTTGAGGTTAAAATTCCGTGCACATCGCAACAGATACTTGTTTTACCCAATATGGTTGAATTTTTCAGATGTGATATGTCTTTAAACACGTTTATTGATTTTCTTTCCAAATTTACAAACTTGATGTAATTCTTGTTGAATTTACTTTGTCTGAGGTTTTGTTGAAATCAGTGCAGAGATGATCTAGGTATTGCCCTTTAAGTAGGTCCCTTTTTTTAGAAACCCTGTATTTTTACTAATAACTACCCCTGTACAGTATTTTTACTAATAACTATCCCTGTACAGTATTTTTACTAATAACTACCCCTGAACGAATGTTCGTTAAATCAATGATAAAAAAAAAGTACGCGGTATTAATTTAAGTTTTCAAATTCCTGGGCACACCGGATCAAAAGGAATTCTCCAAGAGAGTGTACTGTAGCCCTCTTGTGATATTAAATGTTATCTTCCCTGAAACGCCCACTCATGGTCCATGCTTCTATACTGTCGGTACCCGACTCGTACCGTGTATCCGACAAATAGTAGAGAAAATTTGTATAGCGTTAACCGTCTAGGCTACAAATAACAGATAGCATTTCAGCATTTGTACTGCGCAAATTCCCACTTGACAGCAAACTCTATGCCTTTTACATATTATACTTATCCCAGCAGATGTGATAGCATTCTGAAACCATCTCAACTCCCAGGGAAGCAAACAGACAAAGCTGCTATTTTTATAGGCGCTAAAGTTCTAACATACAGACACGATATTTCGCTGTCTATGGCTGGCTGGGGATCCGCTCTCACCTGGGTGAAGTGAGGAAAACTCGTGTAAAGAGCCTTTCCCAAGGACACAACGTCAGGCCTGAGGCTCGAACTCCCGAAGCTGCAATTTCACGATTGCGCGTCCGGTAACCTAACCACTAGACCACCGACAATCTCACGATTACGAGTCCAGTTGTGTGTTTGATTGCTTCTTTGTTGACTTAAAGTGGAGGGTGAAGTGCACATTGTCTAGCATACACTTGTTTACACACACACACACACACACACACACACACACACACACACACAAACACACACATACACACACACACATTCACACACACACGCACACACACATACACACACACTTATACAAACACTCACGCACACACACACAGATACACACAAACACATACACACACAAATACACACACATTTTTTGGTGGGTCGAATGTCCTTAAAATGTAAATTATTGTCCTTGTCAACCCTATCACCGTTTCCCCTTCCCCCTCCTTCCTCCACCCATCTTTTCAACTTCTCAAAGTTCACTGGTTTTGGTCCTTCCCTGCCGTTTGCTTTCAATGTTTAAAGTAAGAGCAAGATTTTCAAGCCCCTCGTGTCTCTTCAAGTACGTGTTCCAGAAACGACTTTTTTCTATTCAAAGTTTTCTTTATTAATGAGCTGCTCACTCAATTTCTTTCAGCACCGCCTCATTTAATTTCTCTACCGCCCATGTGACAATAGTAACAGTTTACTTTTTTTAAAATGCAACCCTGTTTCTACATTTTTTTCACTTCCGTAATTAATTATCCAGCATTCACAGCTGCCGTATAGAGGAGTTGACCACACGTATTATCTTTATGAAACCATTATATTGGTTATGATTTTTATATTTCTATATTTTAGAATTGGACTCATTTCATCAGTCTGCTCTAAGATAATGCCATGTGTTCTGTTTCCTCTACACTCCCAAATTATAACCATTTGTGTTTATTTTCTTTCAAAATATTATCTAGAAGCTAATAAAAGCCCTTTTCTGAATCTGTAATTAAAATTGTGTCATTGGCATATCTGATGTTATTGATAGTTCCTCATTCACTTCGAGACCTGGGTTTCCTTTCATATTTATAAAAATTGTTCATCTGAATAATAGGTTAAAATGGTCTGGAGGCATAAGACAGTCTTGCCTAACTCTTTTTTAAATATTCTGTTTCTATTCGTTGACTCTCTCTCTCTCTCTCTAAATTTCAAAATTACTTATTGGTCCTAATCCTTATATAGATTTCATCCCCATAATCATTTTTACATTTTACATTTCTGCCTCGCTTTCTCAGAATTTTTTAAAGTTCATCATGTCGAAATCAGTGCAGCATAAAGCTAGGGTGCATACCTCTCTGGTGCATACATCGACAGTATATATCTGCACTCTACTCTCGTTGTTTGAGTCGTGTTCAGGTTAACTGCTCTGTTCATGTAAGTTTACTGTTTCTGAGCTCGACAAGTTCAGAGTGACACAAGCATTCAGTTGTAAAGCTACATGTATTTAAACAGACAGTCTAAAGAAAAGAACCATTTAGGAAAAAGTACTCATACGACAGATTAGTTCGAACTTTGTTTATTTGAAAAACAAAATGCTCTATAACAGATTACAATCGGGAAATGTCTAAATAATTTTGAATGTTCTTGTTTTAAGTCGACCTGTGACTTTTAGACCAGCAATCATGTCTCCAGTTTGGAAGGGATGGCTGTCCTTGTTATCCAAAACAACACACTCTATAGGATTGTGTAACACAGAATAAGACGTTTTAAAAAAAAATACTTTTTCAAAAAGATATAGGGCGAATCTTTCCTCTAACTATGTGACAACCAGCACATGTAGCACATCTGTTAGCACAGGGTAGTGAATGACGGCATGTCTCGTGAGTCGATCTCTTCCTTTTCGGAATAGCTGCTCTCTTCATTCATCCGGTTCACTCGCGCCTTTTTTCATTCACTCACTCACTCAGTCACTCACTTCAAAATGGCTGTGCTGACCATGAGGTTGACCCCACATGCCCCCACCCCTCTCTGCAGTCTGAGAAAACCTTTCTCCCCCCATCTTGTGCCCCAGGAGTTCTTGATCTTCCAGTAGTCCAGTCCCGATTTCTTGTCTTGGCCGTAGCCCACTAACAAAACACAGTGGTTAAAATGTTCCGGTTTGCAGTGCTCAGGCTTGAGTACCCCCGAGGAATATTCCCCAAGGTCCGTAGCGTCAAGGACTAGAGCCAGGGGTCCGTTCTTAATCAAAAACCTGGCAATTGTTTCCTCATCTTTGGGCACATACAGATAACCTTTGACCTTAATGTCGGCCACGAATTTCTTTGGGTTGATCTTCACACTGCAGCTTTGGGACTTGTTGCACGTGCCGGGAGGGTAAGGCCAGCCAGAACCACAAACCGTAGCGTTGTAGCGCGGCGGCGCACACGGAGTACAGCCTGACTGTTTACCTATACAGTAAGGATAGTCCGAGTCTGTGTTGATGCCCCCTGCCTGTTTCACGTACTGGTAAGCCGCATTAGGCCAGCCCCCGTGCATACCACAAGTCGGATGTTTCATCTTCTTGTCGTAGAAAGACGAACAGTCTGAAAGCTGCTCTACAGAGAGTGACGTGGCGTTCTCCTTGGTCTTCATAAAGTACTGACCCTCCAGGTTGCCTACTGTAGCAAAGGCCCAACAAGTCCCGGCACTTCCCTGGTTCTTAACTGACGTCACAGCGCCTGTACCCGTAAAGTCAAAATGGTGAGGAGCCACAAGTTCCTCCAAATCTGTGGAAAACTCGGCAAGATGGCTCTGTCTTTTCTCAAAGTCGGGAGACACCGTACTCGTCATCAGAATCTTCTCTCTGAATTCTGTATGCGACATGTCAGAAAACTGGTTGATTCTGAAAGTTGTGATTCCGGCATGGATTTTGTTTTTTGTATTTATCATATGAACATTTTCACGGAAGTTGAGGAACCTCACTTTTTCTTCTTGGAAGGAATGGTACGTTTTAGAGAAGTCGAGTTTGAACTTGTTGAACAAATCGATGACGCTTTCCTCGTCGCTGGGGTAGACGTCGTTGCGTGTACTGAGGATTGGGGGGG